GAGTAGAGAAGGATGATGGAGGGAAAAAGGGAGGTAGAGAGGGGGAGGAGAGAGGTGGAAGAAAGTGTCAGATAAGGTATAAATATGGTGTATGGAGAACAGAAGAGCCAATAACTGGTTTTTCTTTTGTTTTTTTGTTAGTTGATGGCAAGATGAATTGATGTAATTACTTAATAATACAACATGATATTGGCTATGTAATACTATACATGTGATTATATGTTATGGAAATGGAAAATAAAAAAAATATGCGGAAAAAGTTAGGATAGTGTTGACGAACCTTTTTGTCCTTGCGTGCTGAAATTGTCTGTGCCCACACCCACCTGCACATGTGCCCCACCCGCATGCATGTGTGCATAACTCCCTGTGTGCGGAAGGTGAGTTTCCACCCTCCCCAGTCTCTGGAGGCCCTCCAGAGGCCAGAAACACACTCTTTTCCGAACTTCTGGGAGTCCCATTTTTTGCCCTCCTCAGAATCCGGAGGCTTTCCTTGAGCCTTTGGGAGGGTGAAAATGGCTTTCTCCAGGCTCTGGAAGCCCTCCTTAAAACCTTCTTGTGGCAAAAATGAAGTATGGGGAGACCACCGTTCCCCCACCCCCACCCATGTACATGCAATTTCCTGTGCATGCGTGTGCAACTCCCACATGCATGACAGACCCTAACCTGTGCCCCCACATGCGCATGCAACTCCTGCATGCACTGCAGACCCAAAAATCAGCTGGCTGGTGGGAGCAGCATGTGCAAGCGTGGTGCAGCTGGCCCACAGAGAGGGCTCCATGTGCCACCAAGCCACAACGCGTGCCATAGGTTCGCCATCACAGAGTTAGGTCATGGAGGAATAACAATAACAAAAATCCTCTCATCAATTAATTCTGCCAAGTGAATGAGTGGTCTAAACATTTAGGGATAAGGCAACTAGAGCGATTAAGGTATTTGAAACATACTCTGCTATGTTCAAAGAGGTGACAAAAAGAAAACAATTGGAAAATCATGATAAAAAATTATTTTATTGTTTACATATTTGTTTAACAAATAAAAGACTACTTAAAAAATGATATGTGCAGGCTTCCAACTCTAAGAGTGTCAAAACATTTTCTCTCCATGGTTCCATCCTAAGTAAAAAAGCCCTACCTTAGTGGCGTAAAGTCACCTAGGGCCACAAGAACTGTAGCCCTCAAAAACTGATATTGTTACCAAATTGAAATGTTTATAGAATTGACAGAAATTGACAGAAGCAATAGCAATAGCAATAGCAA